ATTAATTATTATATATATATATATATATATATATATATATATATATTAATAATGGTTATGATAATATATAACTTTTTCTACAAAAATAGAGCGTGTTAAAAAAATTCCTACAATTCCTACAATTCCTACAATTGAATTAATTAATTGAATTTTTCTCCATAGTCCAAGACCTAAAGAAGAAGATATTCCAAGGAACGGATGTGAAACTCGCGTTTGTGTGATGCGTTATTTTAGCAACATTGCTGGATATAATGGAGTATTTATCTGCAGTGATTATCCACATTGGATATTTTTAACTGGACGCGGTGAATTGCGTGTGCATCCAATGGGCATTGACGGTTCTGTCACATCCTTCGCTGCTTTTAACAATATTAATTGTCCGCAAGGTTTTCTATACTTTAATAGAAAGGTATAATATAAGACTAAATATCTTGTATAAAACTTTAATTTTAACATAAAATATCTTTGCTAAAATCAATATTTTCTGAAATATTAATTTATCATTTTTTAAATAAATACTTTATTCTTTTGTATTTGTTTTTAAATATAAAGTTTTGTAATTTTAAATTTTTCAGGAGGAACTACGGATATGTGTCTTACCAACTCACTTATCGTATGATGCTCCATGGCCAGTTAGGAAAGTCCCTTTGCGATGTACCCCACATTTTGTTACGTATCATCTTGAAAGCAAAACCTATTGTGTTATAACAAGTACAGCTGAACCTCTGAAAAGTTATTATAGATTTAACGGTGAAGATAAGGTATTGATAAAAATATTTTCTTTTTTAATTTTTAGAATATTTATTGATATTTATTTATCAAACATAGTTTAAAGGCGAAAAATTAATGTTGATAAATGTGTTTTTTATCAATCAGGAATTTACGGAAGAGGAGCGCCCAGATAGATTTCTTTATCCATCCCAAGAACAATTTTCCATCGTACTATTTTCTCCAGTTTCATGGGAAACTATTCCCAATACAAAAATTGAGCTGGACCAATGGGAGCATGTTACTTGTTTAAAGAATGTATCTCTAGCTTATGAAGGCACGAGATCCGGTTTAAAAGGTTACATAGTATTAGGAACGAATTATAATTACGGCGAAGATATTACAAGCAGAGGACGAGTGAGTTCTATATTTATATTATAAAATGTTATTAAAATCAAGCTTCATCAATTAATGATCTTGTTTTCAAAATTCTTAGATACTTATATTTGACATAATTGAAGTGGTTCCCGAGCCTGGCCAGCCATTAACCAAAAATAGATTTAAACAAATTTATGCGAAAGAACAAAAAGGACCTATAACTGCTATAACACAAGTATCGGGATTTTTAGTCTCAGCTGTTGGACAAAAAGTATTCCTTTCGATTTATTATGAAAATGTGTCTATTGTGAATAGCATTAAAAATTATATTATTTCATTGCAGATTTATATTTGGCAATTGAAAGATAACGATCTTGTTGGAGTTGCTTTTATCGATACTCAAATTTTTATCCATCAAATGCTTAGTATTAAAAGTCTCATCTTAATAGCCGATGTCTATAAATCGATTAGCTTGTTAAGGTTTCAAGAAGAATATAGAACACTCTCCCTTGTTAGTAGAGTGAGTATAATTTATTAATTTTGAATATACATTGATTACTATTTATGAATGTGCATTTGAAATATATAATTTATTCTGTTACAGGATTTTAGACCGGCAGAGGTATACACAATAGAATATCTAATTGATAATACAAATTTAGGTTTTCTTGTGGCTGATGGGGAGAGCAATTTAGCTTTATTTATGTATCAACCAGAATCCAGAGAAAGTCTAGGAGGTCAAAAATTAATTAGAAAGGCAGATTTTCATTTAGGACAGAAAGTAAACACTTTCTTCCGTATTAGATGTAGAATTAGCGATCCTGCGAATGATAAAAAGCAATTTTCCGGAGCTGATAAAAGACATGTTACTATGTACGGTAAGTCAAATTATATTTTAGAAATGATATGTATAAATCAAATAACTCTGTAGTAAAATATTCTTTAAATATTCAAACATTTTTACACGCAATTACAACTCTTTTTTTTTTACATTTTAGCATCATTGGATGGCAGTCTTGGTTACATTTTACCAGTACCAGAAAAAACATATCGAAGATTACTCATGTTGCAAAATGTGTTGGTTACACATATTTGTCACATAGCGGGTTTAAATCCGAAAGCTTATCGGCAAGTTTTAATTATGATTATACAGATATTACGTTTGCTATTATTTTACTTGTTAATTAAATTAATAATTAATAATCAAATAAAATCTTAACATATTTAAAATTTTTCTTTAGCACGTATAAAAGTTACGTTCGAAATCAAGGTAATCCAGCAAGAGGCATCATTGATGGTGATTTGGTTTGGCGTTATCTTTTCTTACCTAACAATGAAAAAGCAGATTTAGCCAAGAAAATTGGAACGCGCGTTCAAGAGATTATTGAAGACATCATTGAGATTGATCGACAAACGGCCCACTTTTAAGTGGAGTCGTAATATATTTATATAGCCGATCATTTATCTTTATATTACCTGAAAATAGCTTAAGATGAGTTTTACCGAATGTTGCTTGCATAATAAGTATTTTTGACATGCTAAATACATTCTGAAATTGTCAATAGCATAATTTGCAATTGTTTCATTCATGTGTATCATGTTAAATTATATAATAGAACCTAAATTTACACTTTAATATAAAACAACAGACAGATATAATTTATCTTTATATAAAAAATTATAGTATCAATTATAATTGTTCTGCGATACAAATTAACGAATTTATTTATCATCTATGTATAATCAAACTAAGAAATATTTGCTCGTATTATTGTGGTGATATATATATATTCCCAAATGCGTCCATCAATTTCTCCTAGAAAGACTCTCCTAGAAAAACGATTAACCATACGAAGAGAAACTCAAAGATGTATGTACCAGTGGAAAATGTTGTAAATAATATGTATAGTTGTAAAATAAAACTTCTCATTTTTTTTAATAAATGTTTAATACATAAAAAGAAAATCGTACATGCAAATTCTATTATAAAGCAAAAATTCCTTGATATATTGATCATTTCACATTACTTATTGATCAAACAATTCTTGAAAAGTAGTATTTTTTTGAAAGTCGTTCTTCTTTATTTCTTATATTTCTTAAAGAAGTTTGTTAGTCTGATTTTCTGAATTATTAGTAAGTACTTTAATATTAGTTTCTATATCAATTTCATAATTAATATTTAACAATTTTTATATTGTATACTCTTAGTGATTGTCGGACCGTCATTGTTAGAAAAAAGACTTTATGAAGCGTTTGATGTGTTTGATGTTGCAAAGAGTGGTGAAATAGATGTTAGAGATTTGGGAACTATAATTAGAGCATTAGGTAATATTCACGATGTAAAAAGCATTAATCTTATATATCTCTAGCACACGTTCAAGATATATTATTATTTATATTACTTAACAGGATGTGTCATCACAGAGGCTGAATTACAAGAAATACAAGTAGAAGTCGAAGATGTCGAAACTAATTGCGTACCACTAAACAAATTTGTAGACTATATGAGCAAAGCGCTCAGTGAACGCAAGTATGTTCAAATAAAACTTTTCCTCTGTTAAATAAATAGCCGATAGGAAAATGAATAACCCATACTAATACAATATATGCATAATGATATTTAGATTTAAACCAGCAGAACCAGAAGAGTTATTGAAAGCGTTCCAATTATTAGATCCTGAAAATCGTGGATATATCATGAAAGATGATTTAGAAAAATCAATTATGGAAATTGGAGAGCCATTTACGAAGGAAGAAGTGGCCGATATGATGGCCGTAGCTTGTGACGCGGAAACTGGGAAAATTAATTATGAACATTACATTAATTTATTAATTGTATGTAAAAATATTCATTTTCAATATGCTAACTTTTTTTCAATAGGAGTACATCTAAAAACGTCTTATTTTGTTAAATCTATTGTTTAAAATCTTTATTCGCGATAAAAATTATAGGTAAAAATTCCTAAAAATATGAACGTATATAATATTGTTGATGAAATGGAAGCTGCGAAATTGGTAGAATTACCTAAAAGGCGCAGATGGGAAAGCATCTTTTTTTTGAAAGACGCTCTCTGATAAAAAAATATTTTATTAGCAGCAAATTATATAAAAGACCAATGCAAAAAATATCTGATCAGAAAAGTTATATAAATTGGTTTTATACTTTGTCATATAAATACAATTTTAAAAAATATGTCCATTTTTATATCTAATATTGATGTAAATAATATCAATATAATATTATACAATCATAATAGATATTATCATGATAGAATACTACAATCACATAAGAATATCAAAAATAAAATAATTTATAATTTTGAGAATATTGGAGGATCTCCTTTAACAGCCTGCGCCATAACTGCGTTCAAGAAATCTTCACTTTGAAGCATTGCTTTATTATGCATCGCCTATTGAAACAGATCCCAAAAATATGTCATTGAATAGCTGTTCGAGTAAAACTTATTTCACATATGTATATATATATGTGTATGTGTATGTGTATGTGTGTGTGTGTGTGTGTGTGTGTGTGTGTGTATAAAATTATAGATTTTTATCATATAATTTCAGGTGGATTAAAAGCAGGAAGAAATACTTACAATATGGTCTAATCCTTCTTGGACAGAATGATCTCTGGAATATACCATGCTCATTTTTGAACCTTGCACTGCAACTGGACTCTTGCTTGCAATATTTTCAGCAATTTCTATTGATTTATTCAATAAGCTGAAAAGAAAATACAAATAATGTTATATCAATTCATATCATGCTAATTCATTAGAAGCTTGTTATTTCTTGTTTCAGTGTATTTATTATTTTACCTCTCCTCATTATCCAGCATGAGGCTTATAAATCCACTTTTCAACGCTTCAGTTGCTGGATACTTACGCGCTGTATAGACAAGCTCTCTTACCAAACTGTCAGACCCCACAATTTTTGGAAATCGCTGAAGTGTACCTACATCAGCTACCATCCCTATATCAATTTCCTTTATTTGAAAATATGCATTGGAAGAAGCGTAGCGAATATCAGCTGCAGATATCATGTCCACACCAGCACCAATGCATGCACCATGTACAGCAGCTATCACAGGTTTGGAACACTATTCAAATGATCCTATATTATTACTTTCGAATTATAAATTTAAAAAATAAATAAAACAATTATCAATGAAAAGCAAATATATACAAAACACAATGTGACTTTTATAATTACAAAGAAATACCTTTTCTATAGCAGTAAATGATTCTTGATAATCCTTAATTTTGGGCTCCAAAAATTTGCATCTGCGTGCAATATCCTCGTATTTCGCTAAATTCTGGCCCATTTCCATCATTCCCTGTAAATCAATTCCTGTAAGATTAAATTATCAGATTATAAAAAATTCTTTTGACTCAAATGAATACACAATATTTTTTATAACTATGATAATTATCTCATAATTTACCTGCGCAAAACATCTTGCCAGCAGCTGACAAAACAATTACTCTGCAATCTGGATTCAACGATAATCCATCAAAACATTCCTTAAATTCTCTGCATGAAAATTATTTATTCATGAAAAGCATTCATAAATAAGCATTTAATTATAAAAAGATAAGAAATAATAATTACATACTTCCACATAATTGGATTTATTGCATTCAGCTTCTCTGGCCTATTCAATTTGACCATATATACAAACGGCTTTGGAACAGACACTGCTAATGTTTTATACACTGGTATCATTTCTGTAGAATATCTCAGTGCAGAAGCAGTTTGTAAATCTGTAAATTATTTCAATGAATACAAATAAACTTAATATTAAAAAATTATCATCGTTTTCTTGGTACTTTGTTTTTATTTTTTTTTATACTGTTTTGCAAATACAGGTTGTTATGTTGTATTAATAATAATAGAGATATTATAAATAATTATCGCATAATAAATTTCCACTATTAAAAACTAAAAAATGAGAATAATTCAAGATATAATAAAAAAAATTAATTATACAATTGAGGAAATATATTGAACATCACTACGATTAGTTAAATGATATATGTTAATAACAGACTTAAAAAAAATAATAAAAACTTACGCTGTCTAATTGATTTCGATAAATTATTTTTCAAAATATTTATTACCATGTTTTAAAAGCTTTTACAGATACCACTTATGTCCCTAACTTAACACTAATGTTATCTAAAAGTACAAGGTACAAGCAATATTTACGTACATAAATAAATTAAATGTGTGTTAGGTTCAACAGGTTTTATATACATAAAGATGCAGAGAACAAGAATGATTTTCATAATTTTCAGCGCCCTCTAGCTCTATCCTCGAAAGAATGGAACTAATTATAAGAATTTCGACTGCAGTGAGTTGATCAGCATTGCATAACATGATCCATCGCGAATTAATTATTTCAGCAATAATTTTAACTTGCAATTTTTTGAAATGTTTGATATTTATATTGAATAATGTATAATTATTAATCTTTTTTTTTAACTCCGCTTTAAAGGAAGACACTTGATGTCTTTTCTCAAATTTCGCGCGATTTCAGAATGATGTTGCCAACTTTACATTTAAATTGTTCACTTATTAATGTGATGTCGCGGACGTCGAATCGAGGGTACGCAATTAATTATAGTAAATCATAATCAGGAGTTGTATGTAATTGATGCAATATCGCGTAGTATAGATTTGATACTCAATTTGATACATTGGCGATTTATTGAAATGAACGCTTCTTGAGATTTAAATGACTAAGAATCGCGTGAGTAGATAGACAAAGCAACAATCGTACTTTGCAAATATGATCTCGCAAATACGATTGTTGTGGACATTTATTATTAATTTTCATGCGCATGTTTATTCCTTTTTATCACAATACGAGATAAAAACATCATAACCATCGAAAAATGCGAATACATATCATGTTCTTTTTAGTGCGAAATGCAAAAGTGCATAGAAGTGAAGTTAGGAGCAGCAGACATACGTCGCGAACGATGCCGCGCAACGGCTTAGTGCATGAAGTTAACCGTGCGATTTTCGAAATCCTCTGCAATTCGAGATTCGCGTTCCCGATTTGCGAGACGTCGTTGCTTTGCGCGATCGTACCTCCCTCGCGTTTATTCTCCATCTCGAAACGCGAATCGCGTACGATTAAGATCGAGTCTTATGCTACGTTACATTTTAATAATTAATGCGCGCGCGACATCAATTAATCGTGTATTCGTAAATGTTATATGGACGAAAGAACAACTATGAAGAGGAACAAGATGACTCTAGGAATTATCGAGCAATGGCGGAATAATTATGGAGTAAGTAATTTGTTGTTCATCATCAGTATCGTCATTGTTTTTATTGTTATTATTATTATTATTATATTTTGTTTACTTAGTTCTCGGAAATTTCTCGAGAATATACGACAATTGCATTCCCGTGTTTTGTGCATTATATTGCATTGTGCAATTTAACAAAAAATATACTACACACATACACACACAGCATACACACATCCCACACACACTACACACACACACACACACGCGCGCGTGTGTATAAATTTAAATGTGTAAATAATATTTTTGTAATTTTTATAGAATATTTTTTACAATGTTTAATGATATAATTATTGAAATTATATATATAAACTAGTAATCAAAGTATTTATTAGATATTTGGATAAATATTTATATCTATAAGAAATATATTTTAGATCTCTTTATTACATTTTTGTTTAGAGAATTAATAAAAAATTAAATTATTTCTTGATATTTTAATTGTTTGGATTGCTTTAATATTCATATATATTTATATTTTACAAATTAACGTTATATAATTACAACTCCGCCGCTGCACATCGTACCGGTGAGTAATTATTCTTTTTTTTATTTTAATTATATACGGTAATGCATTTGTTAAAATCATATACGGTATAATATCATTAATAATCGTAATTAATAATAAAGAATATCTTGATATTTCCTTTCTTTATTTTGAAATGTTTATTAATTCAGAGAATATTTACAAGAAATTATTAAATGCTTTTGAATGGTTTTTTGATTTTGTAATTTATTTAAGTATAACCTTACTCTTATCTTATATTGAATTTTAAAATGAGAAATCTTTTCATGTAAAATTAAATATTTTTGGAATTAATAATATATCAAACTCAATCGATAATTAATTAAGAAAAGTTTTATTCTTAGACAATTATTGCAATCGCATGATCTTGATTGAAGTAAAATAAAGACGCGTGCATTTTGCAATAACATTAAAACCATAATAACAATAAAATTACAAATTTTATCATAATAATCTCGCATACTTAAAATTTTAAGACATTTTCCGTACGCTAACTCCCTCTCGAAAGCATTAAAGAAAAGAAAGGAAAAAAAATTTATTTATTTATTTAATTTATTTATTATTTAATTTATTTTAAATTTACTTTAACTTTTGAAAAAAAGGATTACAAATCTATATTAAATTAATATTTTCTATGTTGCAGACATTGCAATTATTGCAGACATGTTTCTTTATTTTGAAGTTGAGATAAAGTGATGAGCCCAATGCACTTAAATTTTATTTGTGATCTCTTATTTCCTGGATATTTGATAGATTCCATTTCAAAAAAATTACCAATTTCTTTCAGTTTATTCCGACCGAATGTTATTCTTATTCGAAACTCGAGTCTGAAGTTTCTACCGTATCTCGATGTATCTTCTCTCGTTGCATTTTGAGTTGCACTTCGCGTTCACTCGCGACGCGATAGTTATCTCTTAACAGCTTTATGAACGTGTAGTTTGACACATGTATTTTTAGATCATTGCATTGGGATTATGTACATCGTGCATCTAGCGGAGGCCGAAGTGTCACCATCGCTCTTCGAGCGAGGCGATGAAAAGTGGGAAGGGGAAAAACACGGGTGGAATGAAAAAAGGACAAACATCAGCGGAATGTCCAGTTTTTGCGTGGCAGTTACTTACCTTAAACGAGCTAAGATTCTCATATAGAATAGCAGAGAGAGAGAGAGAGAGAGAGAGAGAGAGAGAGAGAGAGAGGCTTTCCGATTCTTAGTCGCGACTGCAACTCAAGACGACGAAACGCGACGCTCGTTGTTTGCAAACGACCGTAATTGCAATGTACAGCAAGTGTAAACCCCGTTATAATTTTGCCGTCTACTTATTTGTTTCTGTGTTAATTGCGGAACTAATTTATCTACATATCGACGTCCGTCAATTTCTCGGCTTACTTTTGGAATTATCTTGCTCTATCTACATCGTAAATATGATTTGCTTTGAAAATTGTGGCTCTTAAAAATATAGAAAAATTCTCGAAAACACATGAAACATTGCCGAAGTAAGAAATTTATCATAATATATTTATTATACTGTAATTTTATCACAAGACATAGTTCGGTAATTGTTTCTGTGATCTTCTCGTTGCTAAACGGGAATTTCATTATGTAACGCTGCGAATTGTTAGTTTAGTTCTAAATTTATTATCAACGCTTGTTTATTCTAGCGTTAATTATTCTATTATTATCGACGCTGGAACAGCGAATAATGGCGCGTTAAAGAATACTTATTGTTAGTTACAATTTCTCCGGCTGCAAATGGTGAACGGAGTTTCTCGGTTGTCATGTCTACACAGGGAAAACACCAGCCTCGGGTGTGGTGCCCTTTTTTCTATCTCTATCACTTCTACCACTTACGGAGAACAAATGCCAGTTGGTGGTTTGTTGAAATCGACGCACGGAATCTTAATGATGTCTCCTCACATATTCGACGACGAACTTGGATCTTGGGCGGACTTAGATCTCTAAGCGTTTCAAGTGGGAACAGAAAACAGAATTTTTCACGTTTAAAATGAGTTTCTCGTTTTCAAAAGCATTCTACGTACTGAAACTTTCGACTTATTTATTACTATTACTATTATAAAACTTTAGAAGAGACACAAACCTTTGACAAAATAATTTTTTATATAATTTTTTATAAATTTATTATTAACTTTAAATGTGTTTGTAACAAAAGTGAGTGTGTCAACTTTGCCCAAAACGAAAATTTTCATTGTAATTATTTTATTTATTAAAGATAAATATTTCTTGATGACTGTTTAATATATTGTAAATATAAAAAATATTTTAATAATTTTATAAATGTGACATATAATTAATGTTTTAGTACATAATAATATGTTAAATGATAATAAGAAACGTTTACATTAAATAAATATATGAGCGAAAAAAGCACCAATTTTTTATTTACAAAATTAATATAGAATTGAGGCATATTTATACTGTATACGTTATACGTTATACTTGCATATTTATGACATAAAATTTAGTCAAATTTCTTTACATTTTTAAATATTGTACAATTTGTCAAATAACGATTATACAAATATTTTGATAGGTACATTTATTTAATATCTTTCTATAAAGATATTTATGAGAGAATGGTGAACTGAATACCGGGGAAGAAAGTGATGAAAGAAACGACATCCTACGAAAAGTCTGTAGGTGTCATTGGCTTAAAAGATACGTGAAGAAGTTTAAATTACTGTCAGCTGTGTGATTGCCATTATATTTTAATGCAAATAACCCACAATACTCTCTGGCCACATAGTAATACCATATATATCTCAAATGAATTACATCTAAACCTTCTAAAATACTTTTTACTTAATATGGCAATATATTATGTCATCGATATAAAGATTTAATTAAACTTATTAAAATCTTAGCGAGTGGTAATATTTTGTGTGTAGCCTTTTTTATATCGTTTCTAATTAATGTTTTTTTTATTCAACCAGACATTTATTATAAACATAAACATACGTATTTTTTACAAACATGTATGTACATCAGTTGTATTTACATTTATATTTACATGATTTTCTTCTCTTGCAACGTGTTATCTCAATTAATTAACTTTAGAGGGAAATTCGCGCGTGTGGGAGCGAGACGCGCGGCGAGGGCATGCGGTGGGGGAAAGAAGGAAAGAGCGGAAACACGCGCGGGAGAAAGACGCGACGAGGGGCCGTAGTATGACGAACGCGAGGCAACCGGCGACGATGGTGCGGGCAGTCTGCGCACGGACATCGATCGAGGTTCACGTTCCATCCACTCCCCGAAATTCTCGATTGTTTCCCGAGTCGCGATTACCGATACGTCACGCACAGGGACAAGGAGAAAGATAAAAAGAGAAAAAAACGAACCAGAGAAAGAGAGAGAGAAGGAAAGAGAGAGAGAGAGAGAGAGAGAGAGAGAGAGAGATATACCGCAGTATCCTATGCGGCAATCGTGAATTGCGTGCGTCGTGACAGTGCGATGACACCTGTGCCTTTCCGAGAGGAACGAACCGTCAGTATTGCAGCTGTGGGGGTGTTTTTCCGCGCTGCATCATAAGAATTTCGTAAAGCGACCGGAAGACGTCGGTTCATCAGTGTCTTCTTCGCGTCCGGTAGAGAGGTAAGTGTGACCAGCGATCACGTTTCCATGGAATACAAAGGGGACTGTATTGTATCGATTAACTTAGCATTTATTATAATTCCTTTATTATTTATAAATCGTCGACACTTTTGGCGACAGCGATAATAACAGCGATAGGTTAATGCGATTTCCACATTCTTCCGTTGCCCCAAATATGATAAAGCATTTTACAGTATTATATACGCAGTGAAATCGTATTAGTTCACTTTTAATAACGCGATTATTAGCTATCTTATTTAATAATTGATAATAACGACGAATGTTAGAGTGCAATGCGGTATTATCGTTAAGATACACTGATTTTGAGCGATTGATTCGATTGTCAATTATATTGTTTCTGAATATGTTTTTAAAAGACACGGCTGTCCTGTTAATTTTTTTATAGTTTATCTAGCAAAAGTTTTTACCACGCCACAAAGATCTTTTGTAACAATGTATTTCGGATTTGCAAACGTTTGACGTCATGTCAAATGGCACGTAAATGACATAAATCCCAGATTGCAGGAAACATCGTCGTGACAATTCATACGTAAATCGTCTTAATAATAACGAAACAGATTACAAAGCGTTATTACATTATTGTGGATAAATGACAAGCAAAATTTTGTGGTATTACAAGACTTTTATGATTTATCGCATTTACTGTCTTCGTGAAAATGACTTGAAGGAATGTGAAATATTTTTCCGCGATGAAATGATTTCAATTTCAATTTCTCACATTTGCAATCTCGAATTAATTACGAAACGTCTACAATTCCATTAACAGTGACAGTGATACGTGATAATAATAATTGATAATTTATAATAACATATATAATATATAAAAGGAACATAATCATGCCTTCACGCCTCTTCAAGAAGCACAAGAAAAACGTACAGCAAATATCTTGAAACATTTCGAGTTAAATAAGTGAGATTTCTTAATTTTGTGAAAATAATTATCATAAAGTTTTAATTATCATAAAGATATATTTCTCAAAATATAAATTGTTGCGTTAGATAAAAATATTAAATTAATAAAAAGATTATTTATACTACTGTGAAATAAAATTCTAAGCAAAATTCTAATTTTTGGAGCAAGACCATCGATTATTTTTAACTCTTGCTTGCGAAACTTGCTTAAATGGAAAAACATTTATTTTACAAGAATTGTTGCAGTTACAAAGTATACCGAAGTTTACGCTTGTTCTGAATTTAATTAAGAACGGAGCTTTTGTTCTTTAACTTAAGATTTGAGATTCAAGAAACGTCTTTATGTTTTTTCCATTTCCCGCAAGTGGCCTTTATCGCGGTATCTCTCGTGTTTTCGTTATGTTACACATTCGTCGTGAGGACTTCAAACTCGTGTTTAATAAATCACGCGTCCTAGGTTAAACTAGGAATAAAAGGTGGAATTATAGAAAGATCGATAGCGACGCATTCATTTCGCTGAACTATAAGCGCTCGCTATATAAATTGCAAAGCACGTGAAAGCGGTCGATTCGCTTTTACCTATCGTGTGTAATGCCATTTCGCACGCTCCGTGCATCCGTGGCCAGATAAAACGTCGTGTACATACATACATCCCAGAATATGTAATATTAATTCATCAGTAATTTAGCATGTTTACATGGTTACGTCCGACGTAACGGTTCCTATGTACTTTTCAGTATATTTAAATTTATTGCACAGCAACGCATAAAGCGCGAAATTCCGCATCAATTCCGCACGACTCGACGTGGAACGGTCGCTGAATGCAGAAACTGCTACCGGACGTGAATCCGAAATGGGATGAAAGAAACGGGTGAAGTTACAACGGATTGGAGAGCGATGCGTGCGCGTATGCGTACGCTTGTTCGACAAAGTGTTCCTTGTTCCAATATGAATTTATCGCGGATTCTCGGTATCGAAATTACGCGCGACGGCGTCGTAGGGATGTAGCGCGCATTCGTCGATGTTGCGCGATACATCGCGCGCGATTATTCCAATTTTAAATACACATACGGAATACATCTCCCTCTATAAAAATAAAAATTCCAATTAGACCGATGAAACTGTGTTATCTTCTCATCTTTAATGCTCATCGACAAGACTGGTATTATCTAATAGATTCGCGCGCGCGCGCGCGTACGTATTTAACGTACGAGCAGTGGCTCGTATTTAATATGCAAAGGTAGCGAATGGTTCTAGTTAAATCGTGACGAGTCGCTTTCGCAAGGATTAACGATTACAATCGCTCTCTAGGAATCTCCGTGCTGCCTCCAAAGCGCGCGAGCGCGCGCGCGCGCCATATTCACGCTGTATCTCTCGTCAACGTTTTTGTAAACGTTATTTTCTTGCGGAAATCTCTGGTGGCCATCTGTCAGAGGCACTGCGCTCCGATGCGCTTCTCTCGCTAGTTTCACGATAAACCGTCGCGTTAAACCTGCTCGACGCGTTCTCGAGTTTTTAATTACGTTAATCGCGATTTACATTACGACGGGAGGCAGTTTCATCCCCCCTCCCCCCCCCCCCGAGGCGTTTAATCGCGGCTCGAGAAATCCTTGAATCGTTTGAGTTGTAACGTCTGTCCTCTTCAATTAGCCTCAATAAAATCGGGCCTTACATCATCGATACATTGTATCCGCGCTCCTCAACCTGACCGCTCGAACGGATTCGTATTTCATGCGTGGAATTCGCGACGTGAAAAATAAAAAAAGTACACGCATATTTTACGCATATCGTAACATTTTGGTTTTAAAATTATGACATATCATTACGTAACGTATGAACGTATATAATTACGCACAAGCGAATTCAAGATGTAATCTTAAATAACGTGAATTACAAAAATTACTCGAGATAAACTGGGTTCGAGGCTTGATGTTTTAAACATAATTGACTTAAAATTATTACTTGGGTGGGTTCGTCCGTCTTTATGTAACAGCGTCCAGTTGTGTAACGCAAATTTCTGCAACAGTTTTCTGTAGCAATGTTTTCTTGTTCGTTTTTCTTTTTCTTTTTGTAAGCCGTATTAATTCAGCGTCATCCATTGAGATGGCAAAGCTGCCGTGAGTCATCGAACTCGGCGTGTCGAAAGGAAGCGCACTCCGTCCGATAGGTCACTGTTACGTGTGGGATTCATTACTGATTTTTACTGTGAATTACTTTCTTCAAGGCGGGAGATTTACAGCCTTATGCCTCATTGCGCATTTCTAATCTTACGATTTACGGGTTACGTCATATACCCACTCGTGGAAAACTTTAACGTACGCGCACAGATATTGTTGCGAAAATGTAAATGTATAAATCAGCAGCATACCTTTCCTTAATTCCGGGGGTAAAGAAAATGATTAAATACACACCACGGATCGGAATGCATTGTAAATTTAGCGTACAAATATAAATAATAATATTTTGCGAAACGAATCAATTTTCACGTCAATCAACTGGAAACTATAAAGTAGGATAAAGATGGATGGAAATAAGCGTGAAGAAAGTTCAGCTTTAAAATTTGAAAAACGATAATTTGAAAGCAAATTATATCTTATTCAACGATACTTTACTTGATTGTATATTCAAATAACAGAAATATAACAATTGAAAGCAAAAAAATTAAAACTCATTATTTTAAGCGTTTTGACGTATTGCTCTTTTATATTCAATAAATTAAAACACAGAATTAAAACACAATTGTTTATACAGTTTTAGGTTTGTTTATTGCTTTATATTCGATAAAAAGAGCTGCCTTTTTGAATGACGCTGACGAAAGTGGCTGTCAACTCCGGAAATTTCGGAGTATTGCTGATGACGTCCCGCGACGCATCGCTGCATTGCTGTCGGGCGCGGCACGTTGCCGAGCACGGGGAGGGGAAAAAGAAAAAAAATTAGAAGGAAATACAAATGCACGGCTCTCTCTCCTATCGTAAATCATCGTCGAAAATACAATAATACGGGAGGGAAGGGGGTAGAAGCTCGCGCCATAAACCAAATCGCATCGGTTGACTTCGCTTGACCCTTGAGTCCGGTTGACCTTCTTTAGGGGCTTTTGTGCGACATATTCCGGTTGCTTTATGCCTTTTTCGACAGATTCCATCGCTGGGGCCACCGGTTTGCAATTTTAAATAGATGCGTCTGCCGAGATATTTCTCAAGGTTTCGCAGATTTGAGAGATGATAGGCTAGATATGCGGAGCACATCGTCTCGCTGGCCTCGAGGCGTGGATCGTCGTAAAATTTTGGTGTGGCAAGGTCAAGACGTAACTAGAAATCAACAGAAATTATTATTACACGAACGTGATATTGATCAGTACGTCAATTTGTTAAAATAATATCTACTCCGAGGCTTACAAGCGGCATTTTTACAAAACCATAGATATTTCAACTATTAATGTGTTTAACTTCGATAGCGCGTTATTAATTATGAAAATTACTACCTGATACTGTGCTATTACGAATGGTGTTAGAAATTCTTGTTCTTTACGCTTCGAGTAGTCTTAATATGACCACACGAAATAATTATATGAATAATGTGTCTGGCTTCAAACGCCAACTTTCGCTTTTATTCCCGCTCGAAATAGTCCGGCCTGTGCCGAATCACGCACGCGCGATCATAAATTGATAATGTCAGTGAATTAGTTAACGTGCCCGAGTTGGTTTGTATAGCGTACATGATTGTAGAATGCGATCGTGTTGCACACGCGCATATTTATCAGCTCATTTTATTTATCCTAAGCAGCTATCTAGATGCGGCAGCTATCTAGAAATATTAATCCAATATTTTCAGTTTTACCATTAATATATCTTGTTGTAAATAATTATAATAATTTATTACATTTCTTATCACTTACATTTATATCGTAATTATTTATCGTATACAAATAACTTGACATATTATTATTGCTTTATTAGCGTCAGATATCGATCTGATTCGCTTAACGAGAAAATTAAAAAGCGACATAAAAAAAAAATAGAGATTTAGCTAAAATAAAAGAAAGATTATTTCTCTTTGCCGCAGTGCGGTGTTGGAAATATTAAAGCGGCCAACGTGCAATCATTTTTGCCGCGTGCGTTACTCCAAACTAAAATTTCCTAACCATCCTGCATTCGCTATTGTTGCCAGAGGAATTCTTCGCTCTGCCTAAACGCATCTCGGCCCACCCGAGCGAGGCGATCCACAGAGCGAGATCTCGTCAATCTTCGTGTCCTAGTAGTGACACAACTTGAACAATAACGCCTCCGCACGCTATGTCGCACCTGTCCGCGATCGACGAAGAAACGCGTTGATGCGCGTCCGTTAATGCCCGTACGTAACTCGGACTCGTACGTAAGCGCATAAGTCGGGAATTTTATTTTTGTCACCTCTTTCCTCACCTCTTTCTGCTCTGCCTCCGCGAGCGGTTATCAGATCGTGCTGCACATATTGGGATACTTTCTCGGACCCGCGTCTCTCTCGCGTCTCTCTCTCTCTCTCTCTCTCTCTCTCTCTCTCTCGACATCGCATTCGTGCCGCGTCGCGTCGCGCCGCACGCCAGCGCCTGAAACGAGTGAAAGTATTCAGAATTCTTGCGGTCAGTTCGACTCGCGGGGCTCGCCACCGAGGAAACTTACGCAACCCATGTAGAGTAACAGGTGTATTGCAATAACGTGTCTGGAGGGATCCAGAGGTCGTTTGTACTCACGGGCGGAACGGACATACTACTAGTGCTACGTGATGCGAGACACTTCGGAAACGAGAGTTTCCAGCGCGCGTTAATTGATAAATTATACCGCCGTAAACAACCCCCCGCCCCTCTCCCTCCTGTCGTAGACCAACGTAACCGACGTCGAATATTTGCGCGCAGCCCGATCCCTCTCTGAGATTCACCATCGAGGAAGTTCGAAAGCTCGCGATCCGCGAGCATGGGTTAATCGTTACGTCGCGACGTGACGATGACACGTGTCGCGTCGGAAGAAAAAGCGCGAATAGAAACTCTTTTCGAGTCGGTTTACGACGATTTCACGATTTCACGATTTCACGGGCAACGCGCCGAAGCTCGCTCTTACGATCGCCCCCCGGTGTGTAAATATATATCGCGCGGCGCAGATAAGCGAAGACGAAACGGGATCGCTTTTTCTGCGGGTTCAGGAAACCGGCAAGGTTAAACGTGGCGCGACTCGGAGAGTCTTCTCTCGGAGGAGAGACACGAAAAGGATACTCCGCTGATCCACCGGATGCACGCGATCTCGCCGGCGCGCGGCTCGTTCGACATGTGCTCGGCTTTGTTTTCGCAGCGGAGTGGAGCGAGAGAGCTTGCGTTTTCAAGCGAGACGAGAGAGCAAGGTTAATCCACTCGCTAATCACATTGCCCCGTTTAATCGGTTCGAAAATCGCTCGATATGTTGATTCGCAGGTGCAAAACCCGAACCGGAATTAAACTGTACCTTGAGATTTTCTTCGCGGAAACTTTTCCAAGCGCAATTCCAGATCTCTCGCGTCTTTGATATCGGAGAATTAAATTCGTTTTAATCGCTTTTCGCTCGGCATGCAGGCACGATCTGGAATGTCCGGCTTAATTATATTTATATCATTTGAACTATGATTAACACATGGGTGAAGAGTACGAGCGCTTCCCTACGTCCGCATCCCGCAAGGGCATTCGTTGCTCATTACCATTAACAACGAAACTGTATACGAAGCCGAGGAAATGCCGGGCGACCCGGTTCGCTCGTCCCAACAGAAATCTTCGCTTTATAAATAAATAATAGGATTTAGCCAACGAGAATGAAGCGGCGAGCGTCATCGAAATGGCTCCGTGCATTGACCCCCTGTCGTTAGCCGAGCGAGCGTTTAATCGCCGCGACGTAACTAAGTGTAATTAAACATAAAGCACATACACAGAACTGGATATACGAACCGGCTTGGAATTATATATTATCGCCCGCGACGCCACGATCATTACGAGCGACCGTATGCTCACAGGTGTAAAACGCTCGGCCTACAAAATATTGTAGAATACTTTGAACGTTTTCTGAATCATCGCTAATACGCACACGGCAACGCATTATTAAATTGCTAATGGTACCCATAATGACTTTAATTTGTGATTATTTCGAGCATTTTTTTTTACGCGCATATAATCGCGTGCAGAACGGCTCAAGACTGCTCCTTCCTTCCTAAAAGCAAAGGCGTCTGGCTCTTTGAGTTCTACCGGGTGAATTATTAACGGAGATTAGCGAGTGTTACTTAGGTGGAAATTGTCGCGTCAATTACACAGCGGCGGTTAATTGCCGCTAATACTAAGGCTACATTCCTAACGGGCCCCCACATTTACGCCGTGAATGATGGACCGATTCGTTCGCGTTTACGTCGGACCCATCGTGCCATTACCGCGTGTTTCTGTGTCGCACTTTTCTGCGCGATGTAACGACATTCGGCTCTCTCTCTCCTCTCCTCTCTCTCTCTCTCTCTCTCTCTCTCTCTCTCTCTCTCTCTCTCTCTCTCTCTCTCTCTCTCTCTTTTTCTCTTTCTCGGGACGGGGTCAGGATTCGACAACGCGCGCGAGAGAACGAATCTCGAAATAGCAGCCGCGGGGTAGAAACTTCGGGTTATAGTTAGCTCCTCTTATAGTTAGCCGCTGACTAGCACGCTGCAGAATGCGAAACGAGTATGTTTCTTCCTTCTGCCCGAGCTCATTTCAACACACGCGCGTACGCTTCCATTTCTCCCTCCTCTTAATTCTCGCTTCTGGATCTCGCAGATTTTCCTTTCTTTCTCTATCTTTCTCTCTCCTTCTTTTTCTCGTCACGTTTTCTCTCATCACTCTGTCATCACTGAATATTCATTTTTCTTTCTCCCGCTCGATTCGAACTCGCGCAGTAACGGAATCTCGCGCAGCGAGAAGAAAGGAAATGAAAAGGAAGCGTGAAAGGGGAAAGGGGAAGTGGAGTGGGAGAGGAAGGGAAAAGCAAATCTACTGTGGATGTACTCTCAATGCGATGGACATCCATCCAGGCAACGACGGTCGGATGCTGGAAAGTGGTTCGCGCATCCTGCCACCGCGGGCAGTATCCGCGAAGCGTCGTTTATTTACATAAATAGATGACCATTCATGCACCCGTTCGCTAAATATTATATTCGCTTCATTGGCTGCCACGTTAGTTAAATATGATTTGCCTCGCGCGAGGTGTTTTACGTCAACGTGAATAATGCGCCATATCCTCGCATCGGCTACTACACAAACATCGCCATTCAAAATTATTAATTACCCTCTCATAATTAACTGTTTACTCGAAATCTACAGGAAATTTATTAAAATAAAAGGGGAAGAAAAATTAATTTATTGCAAATATACCTTCGCTTTATGGTTGTTTATTTAAACTTATTAAATTTAATGTCAATATTATTATTATTATTATATAATCAATAATTTATTACACGCAATTTAATCTAATGTGACGTGTGATACAATAAAAAATATAAAATATAAAATACGTAAAATGTTACATAATTATCTCGAAAATATTGTTAGGGAAATAACATTGTAGATTAACATCTCAACAATTCGCGACTTATCCGCGCAACTCGATAATTCTCCCCATTAATATCTTGTTTGCGAGTTTCGAGAAATATGCTCAAAGTATTACAAGGGCGATTAATCAAGCAGCGTTACATAGAGGTATTTAAATTGATTAGCCAGGAATACGCGAGAAGTAAATTCGTTCCAGTCTTTTCGTTTTCATCATTGCTTTATCGTCGCCGTAAATCGTGGCGGGAAGATACCAGCGTGACACGTACTAAAAGGTTTGTACACCTCCTAAGTACTCCTTTTACTCGAGGCCAAATTATAACCAGATCGAACTATCGCATTTATCATGACCGACAGAAACATAAATTTAATCACCGTCGTACCTTCAACACCTCCATGATGCACCAAGGTGTTTACATACGCTGCATTTATTTGCGTCGACCCTTAATACGGATGCTCAGTGTTGATTTTTCAAAAAAATATTACTTAAATTAATTATTTGGATAAAAAATTATCAATAAATATCGAGCCCAAAAAATTTCTTTAAAATTATGATTATTGTAAACGTCAAGTACGAATGTCTTTACACGTTAGTGACAAAAAATTTTAATAAGTATTACGTAAAAATGTATTTGTATATTTGCTTTATAAGAAATAATCGTTGTTGTACGAATAATTTTTACCACACTCAATTGCTTGATTACTTGCCATTAATTTTCTACATAACATTTATGTTTGAACATCGTGGGAAAAAGGATCGCCTTTTTCAAGGATGCATACTTTGCAAATTCTCAATCCCGTCTGAGAGACAGGCGGGAATCAACCGGAACCAACGGTATCATTCTTTACTCCCGGTCGAGGATGAGCAATCAAGCAGTGAACATCTGGCATTATTTTTCACGCTGTCACTATCGTGACTTCCGGCCATTTTATACCTTACCCTACCTACCTACAACTCGCTTTTACGAATTAACCGCGTCTACTTTCTTCGATCGTTTCGCGCGCGAATCAACTCTTTCGTCGCGCTCGTTCTTCGCGCTTCTTACCTCCGATCCGGGGGTGTAACCTCTCCCCCCCCCTCCCACCCTGATGAGAGCAATAGCTTTTACGCACGAGGATTCACGTTTGCGCGCGCGCGCGCGCGCGCGCGCCTCAAAGTAAAACCTCACTGGTTTTACCATGAAAACCAGTGATCGGCCAACACATAACGAACACTAAACAGCTCGACACGTTGCACCTACACGTATTGCCGCGCGGCTAAATGAATTCAGACGGTTATAGCTACTGG